TAAATATAAATATATTATATTACATATTATATTATGATATATATATTACATATTTATATATTTATGCTATTAATATATATTTTATTATAAATAAATATTTATTATATTATATGCAATATATAATATCATACTTAAGTAAGATGTCTTTGTGATTCGCAGACCTCAATATTTCAAATTAACTTGAATGAATTGTAAAATTTCGGGTCCAATGGGGATTGGCCAATCCAAAAAACCGTGGATAGCCCTATTCCACCTATTTTGGTGGAATAGCATTATCCACGTTTTTTGCATAAGATCACGGATCGGCCACTCTCTGGGATTCAGCTATCCACGCGTGAATGTGTTACCCAAACAAGGGATAAGGGCCCAATATCTGGATAGCCTTATCCTGGAAATCAAATCCAGGTACCCAAACAGGCCCTAGAGAAAAAACTTACTTGAGCATCTGACAACTGCCCCAAGCTAAAAGCAGCTACCCCATGCCCTGTTGCATGCTACCATCAAACTCCTACAGAATCCCCTTTAGTTTCCTCTGAGAGGGACCTTCACCACCCTCTTATTACACTTTTTTAAAATATTCAAAGGTGCACAAACTTCCTAAGTTTGAAAGTGTGCATAATTTTCAAAATTAATAGTATAATACTCAAAAACATTATAGAACTCGTGCATTTTTTTCAAGGAGCATCAGTACTATTGATGCCATAACAAACAAAACAATCCAAAGACCAAAAATTGAAGGTATGACACTAAAACATTTACATAATTATACCTATCCATGAGTTTATTGTTGGCTTTTGACATCGCTTTTTCAGTGCAAATGCTGACGATCTTTCTCCTACTGTCCAAGTCTACTACAGCACCATTTTGGTTGCCAACTGTAGGTCAAAACCAATGCAGTTAAAAACGCACCTTTATTCGAAAATAAAACCCAGCAGTGATAAGAAGGGAAGAAGCCGTATCATACACACAAAGGCAAATGCCTTTCTCAACATGGTCCATAAACATCAATAGTTGGGGCCCATCTATTCCGCAGACATTACATGTGAAGTCTCCACCACAAGCAATACATGATACGAGTAAATTTGCGAAAAAATTGAAACAGAATAAAGTATTTGAGTCTTGGTTCAGAGCTCAAACTGAATCACTGATATATCTATCCTACATTGAAAGGACCCTAAAATATCAAAGGAGAGAAGGTCAGTATAGAAACTCAGTATTGGAGCCGGTCCAATTGCCAAACTAGTCTTCCATTGTTTGTTATTGCATAATCAGAAAAATTATTAAGTCTAATGGCAATTAATAAGAAGAAATGTGAGGTCCAAAGATTCATTTGAGAATGCTGATTCTGTGAATGAACTATGGTGTCCAGCTTTGGTTCATAATGCAAAGGTATAGTCGATTCCCAAGTAAGATTATAACAGATTCTACTCTCTGCATCAATCAAGAATATCTACTTACATAATTACTACAACAGCATATATCCACTTACATGATTTAGAAAGTGTAAAATCATTGCTGATCTCTGGGCATTATTTCTTCGCCTTTTTGTCTTACACCAGCATAAGTTCAAGTGTTGGATGGTGTTACAGTATGCAAAGAAGACAAGTATTAAGCACATTAGTGGTTAATTCAATACATTTGAATACATGCACATCGTAAAGTGCAATCAGACCATCAATATGAAGCTCCTCCATAAAACTCTAGAATAGCAACCCCTTGTGATCGGGCAATTTTGAGGCCTCCGCCAACCTCTTCAAACCCTTTGCCATCCTGTAAGCATCTAAGAGATCTTGGGCAACATCCTCTGCATGACAATTTACAAAGGCCTGTAGAAACCGTTTCTCCGTCATTCTAAGAGCTGTCAACATCATGGGTCCTTCTATTTGAGGCATCAGCCGCATTGCCTTTATCTTCTTCAAAAGAATGAATCGTGGTCTTATAACCCGCTCCAAGTTGGCATGCACTAAAACAGGGTTATCCATGATAAGTTTAGCAGGGAGCTTCATGGTTGCAACAACATATGTCATGTTCCTCTGGACTTTATCAACCGATAGGGTTAACACATAAGGAGATTTGCCAATCAACCCCATGACCTCTTCCATCGAGAACCCAAATTTCTCAAAGTTGGCAATCTTCAATCGAACAGTTTCTATGCGAGAAACAGCCAGCAATGATAAAACATATTTGTACATTTTGGACTCCTTGGACAGGCCCGATTTTTTGAGATAATCAAGCTTCTCAGGGGTAAGGGACGAGTGTAACATAATCATTGGTCTGGTGATGATCAAGCTGACAAGGTCTGGCCTTGATATTCCCATGTTCTCATACATAGCGATGCAAGGTTTCAGTTTTTGGTCCACATCATAATTCAAGAGAGATGGGTTTTGAAGGAGGGCTCTTAGAAGGGTTTCTTTGGAGCCAAAGAGGTTCTCAAGATACTGTATTCTATGGTCGAGCCCCTCCTTGACCTTGACAGCGAGGAACTTAGCGCGGCAAGCCAAAATTTTGACTAAGTCTGATACCGGTAAACCGAGCCTTTGTAAAATTTGGAGTTTGGATTCGAGAAAAGGTATTTTTGCCTTTAAAAGAGAGGGATGGCGATCAAGGATCTTAGAAACGTCTATTTCAGTGCAACCATAATTCTTCAAAATTTCAATACACATCTCTGCGTTGTTCTGTAGGGGGATTAAACTTTCACAAGATTCAGGAGAAGGAGGTGAAGATAAAGAAGAAAAAGAAAAAGGGTGGAGACTGAGGTGTGGTATTCGGTGAAAAGAAATTGGGGGCTTGGGGGAAAGAGTGATGGATTGGGAAAAAATGGCACTAAAACTACTGCGACTACTACGGCTACACAAAAAGAATAGCATTCTAAACGGTTTAGAGTAAACTCGCATTTTGGGTTTGTCTTAGTAATAACAATAAAAAAAATAATGCCAAAAGAATAAAGGCTGACAGTTTCAAAAAAAAAAAAACAACAGTGCTGAAGAATAAGAGTAGTAACAGGCGATCCTCCCTTAGCTTTTTTTTTTTTTTGATGAATTTTGAGTCCTCCCTTACCTTGTTATCTTCATGTGAAATGCATATCAATCAGGAATGAGAATGTACCAAGGTTTAGCATAACAACGATGAAAATAATAATAATTAAGGATCCTCCATGGAAGGACATCTCCCTCATAATCTCAAAAGAAAAGGGTTTGAGAATCAGATGGGAGGAGAGCAGCGCACATGCATGAATTCAATTTAACACGAGCTGGAGTCACTCTTCTTGCAACTAATTGCTGAGATGATAGGCTCCTCCTCCTTTCTGATCAACACCAGGATGTTATGCAAAGGAATCCACCACCCCCCCCAACCTCTACGTCTTATGCTCGCCCCCTCTTTTTCACACCAGAGAAAGCTCTACTTGAATAAATAAAATTAGCTGTCAGCCTCTGATCAGCTGCGGCGTTTGTAGTCCAACGGTTAGGATAATTGCCTTCCAAGCAATAGACCCGGGTTCGACTCCCGGCAGACGCATATCGCCAGTTCTTCCTGTTCTAAGACACTTTGATAAGTGCTCTTCTTTGAGTTGAGAAACGTCGTTTCAATGCTGCCTCAAAGTTAAAAACCTTTATTATATTTTTATCTTTATTTATAAATTTTAAAGCATCTTTATTTATAAAATCTTTAAAGTTGGTCGTCTAAAATATATTTTTATTTTTATTTATAAATTTTGAAGCATATTTGTTTTTTTATCTTTATTCATAAATTTTAAAGCTTCAAAAATAATGTAGATCAAGACATCTATGAATACATGACAATCTTTAAAATTGATGGAAATTTTGAAGTTTTATTTATAAATTTTAAAGCATCTTTCTTTTTTTATTTATAAATTTTAAAGCATCTTTATTTTTTTTATCTTTATTTATAAATTTTAAAGCTTAGTGTAGATCGAGTCATCTATGCATACATGAAAATCTTTAAAATTGATGGTCTAAAAATGTGTTACAAAATATACTATTTCCAAAACTTAAAATCCTTTTTTTTTTCATGTTCATGTATCTTGATGTCGAGATGATCAATTTGAGGATATTTGAGCATCAAAATAGCCTCTTCTAGTGAAATTTTTGAGGTAGGCTCGAACACGTTTCTATGAGTTATCTCTTAAAAATCTATTTTTGAGATAGATTTTTTTACTTAATTTTTTAGAACATGTAATTTCTAACATGGAGATCATGAATATGAATAAATAAATAAATTTCAAAAATTATAAATAATAATTCTATTAAGAAAAACCTATTTGCATCCATCTTTAAGATGGATGCTTTATACCTTGGGACTGCAAATGTAGATGCATGAAACAATTTTTCTTTCCTCACATCTATACATGTTGAGGTCGAGATTATCAAATTTAAGGTTTTTCAGAATCAAAAAACAACCTCCTCTAATGAATTCTTTAGGTGTGCCTTAATTTGATTTTTTAGAGCCTCACGTTATATAAACTTTTTCCTTACATAAATCTATAATCATCCATTGTTGCCTAGATTTTAGCTGCAGCTTTAAAAAGCCGCCCATCCCAATCTTATCCCAATTGACCAACTTGAAGTTGGTAATTCTTAAACCAGATGAGATTTCTATAACGCCTAGGCTTTATGAAAACAAAATAAAGCCTCACTTCAAATCCTCGTATGGAAAGCACTTTCAGTAAAAAAAGATCTCCATAATGTCTCTAAAATTAATTTCCAACACAGACAATTAGTTTTGAAACTCAAAAAATGGTACAGATCTTGTAGATCTATAAACACTTATTTTTAAGGAGAAATGGACGGTCTAGATAATTCGTTGTCATAGACATTATTTTAAGAGTTTGAAATCCTTTTTCTTTTACTTTTTTGAGTAAGTGTGAGCTTCATTAAGATAATGAAAGGTACAAGATACATGGAAATTAAAAATAAAGAAGGAAAAGGAAAAATAGGAAAAGGCCCCAAGGGTCAAGGGAGGGAAAGAGTTTAAGGGTAGGGTGGACACCGAAGCCAAGGCTTAAAAAGTAGCCAAGTTAGCCAATCAGTTAGCATCCGAATTGAACCCTCGAGCAACATGCTTGAATAAGACTTGAAAATCCCTCAAATGTTTTAATCCTTATTTTTTTTATAACCATAATGTTCAAACCAAGATGATGGATGTGAAGGTTTTCTAATACTTGAATTGCAATTTTATATGAGTAACCCAAGTTAAATTAATCAAATCACACTTCAGTGGTAAAGTACTTGAGATTCCTCACTACATTTTTTTAATTTCAAATAGCTCGTTATTTTTTTGATAAAAATTTCAAAGACATCAAACCATAGGTTGCACATCATGCAAAAAATTATTGGGTGAGTGAAATGTAAAATCTCTTGAGTGGCACTTGATACCCCGATTTCAATGACGATGATGTGGGTAAGTGGGTGAAAATAATATTATAGCAAGAGATCCAGTCTACTCATTTGTAGAAGAGAGTTGGGGATAAGAACGGGGTCGGTCTCATATTATTATTACTTATATAATGCCAAGATCTCAATGCCACGTAATTTCATTTCAGTGACTAATTCTCCTGTCCTGGTTTGCAAAATCCGGTGGGCGGCCGCATTGTTCTCAGCTCCTCTATAAAACCATGCAGAAAAACATCATTCTTAGCTTCCTTCAAAAGCAAGCCTGCGTCTCAAATGGGTTCTCTAATGGCAGGTTGGGATTCCCCTCCATTGGATCCTGATACCAGTAAGCTACCATTTCTCAATTCTTTTTCAACTATAATAGTTATTATGGTTATGTATGCTTTTATATACTATATGAATATTTTCTTACTAATTACTTTGGTTTAAATTCAATGGTAGTCCGTTCTATGAGGAATAGATCCTTCACCAAAGAGGATATAGAAAAGCACAGGAAGTTGCATAATGCTGCAAGTAGGGTGGAGCAAGTGAGTCCCAAAGCCTTGTTCGCCTCTCATTGTTGTTGTTGTTGTAACTCTTTGATCATTGAGCTAACCGAGTCATAGATTGATTTTTTTAATGTAAATTTGTCAAAATAACCAACTTATTGACTATTTCACATTTTCTTTCAACAAGGATGAGGTTTGTATGGAGCCGAGACTCTAAACTAAAGTGCACCTGAAATGTGGTTTCAATAATGGAAATTTTTGTGATGGCCTTCAGATATATTTTCATCCTTAATTATAAAATAAATTTAAAGCTTAAAAAATAGTGTAGATAGAACATATCTATGAAAAATTGAAAATCTTGAAAATTGACGATCCAAAAGTACGTTATAAGATGCACTATTTTCAAAACTTGAAGTCTATTTTTGTTTCACATGTCCATGCATCTTGATGTAGAGATGATCAATTTGTGGATATTTGGGTATCAAAACAACTTCTTCTTCTTCTAGTGAAGTAGTTTTTGAGGTAGGTTCTAATTTGATTGTTTAGAGCCTCTGTTCTATATAAGCTTTTTTCCTTTCAACAATAATAATGAAGAGAAATAGGTAAAATGTTTAATAGGTGCATTTTTTTTGATAAATTTCTCGACCGTCTTAAGAACTTACCCTTTTCTTTTTTATTATTATTATCTATGGTGTTAGGAGAGTGAGCAGATGAAAAGGGAAGCAAAAAAACAATGTTCTTCTACAAAATCACCTCAATGTGAGAAGAAACTTTATTCAGTCCACTCCATTGATTGTCCGGAGAAGCTTAAAAAGACAGAGACGGGTGACTGGTAAGGAATGGGCCTTATTTTTGTATTTCGGTGCATGACTTTGAACTATTTAATTTTTTATACTAAAAGGTGATTGGGTGATTGCATGAAGGTGGACAAAGAGCAATTGGGCTTTTCTAAATGAACTCCCCAAAGATTAGCATGGAAGTTTCATCTCGCACACACAGTTTCACTTTGCAGCCATGGCCTCCAGGAAGAGTATGCCCGCATTTTTCATCGTTTTTGGCATAACAAAACAACTCTGTAAATAATTCTGGACTTCTCTTTGTGAGCTTTCGTCTTTCTTTCTTTTTTTCTTCCCTGGCTTCCTTCCCAAATGTAAAATTCCGCTACTTTGTTAATTGACATGATATCCAAATTGAGGGGAACAATTTCTATGGCTCAAAAATGTTGCCCCTTTTATTGAACTCTCGATCTTTAAGTGAGACGCATCCAGGGACATTATTGGGAAATCAAGAGTATCCGCTCCGGTTGAAGTGGCTCCTATCTTAACCCAAAAATACATGAGTCCTACATCATGATGGTGGACTTCTACACAGGATTTTAAAAGATGACATTGTTGTTGTGATTATCCTCTCCAATTGAGTGAGTAGAATCAACTGAACCATTTCACATGCAATGCGTGGCCAAATTTCGGAAATTTGAAAACCAAGATCAAAATTTCAGACCAAATTTCGCAAGTCCTGTAGGAGTCTTGTTGACTAATGCTTTTAATTCCCTAGCTACATTCTATACATCTGTTTAAAACTTGCAGCCTACTGATTTTCTATTAGGAAAATTGTTTCATGCAGGCTGGACCATATTTCTACAAATACGGTCCAAAAAGGGTAAAGCATATGCAAGTAGGCGTTCCATCATAAAAACAATGGAAACTAAAAGTCTAAATGCTTTCTTACTAGAATTATTATTTCTAATTTTTTAAATTTATTTATTTTTTCATATTCATGATATTACATATCCTGAAAAAATTAAGCCTTAAAATCCATCTCAAAAATAGATTTATTAAGAGGCCCCCATTTCTACATATACGAGCTTGGCCGCATAGAAACCAAGTCCTTTCTTTTATTCCTTCAAAAGTAACTGTACAATGCAGGAGCAATGAGCCTTCCCCACTCTAAATACAAGTAATGCTAAAAGCCTACGACAATACCCTTTTACTTCATCAGACATTGTTTTTTAAGGGGCAAACAATCATTTTCCACATTTGATGGTTGCAATCAAAGTTTTGCCAAAAAGACAAGCTTCTTAAGTGATACCATTCAGTTAAGAAATGTTGTTCACACCTGTGTTTGCTATTGCCAACCAGGAACATGGTTAAAATTTAGCATGTGAGGTTTTAATTACTCCCCGCACTTTTTTTGGCTGGAAATAACAAGAACATGCAAATAGCAACTCCTGTGTATATAACATAGATGTCTCACATGGAGCCAAACCTGTTATAATGCTCCAACTGATACAAAGAGATCTGTGGGACCCCTTTCTGCACCAAAGATATTTACGGAGTTATGGTCCATTGACATAAATGCAATGGTCATAACATCTTATACAGGCTACCTGGTGTTCCTATTTTCAGTGATTTAGCAACATGGCACATAGAGTAATTTTATAGATGCTCAAACTGTCACATGACCTGAATCTCCATCGGCCATGTTCTTGATCAAGTTCTTTGTTGAAGGCATCCCAGCAACCACGTCTTCCTCAATTCCACATTCGTTTGTTCCCCTTCTGATCTTGAAGTAACCATCCTGAATAGCAAAAGAGAAGCACAATGGTCAAGACTCCCAGGCAATGCTTTACAGAGCAATAAATATGCGGACAACGGTCTGATAAAAATAAATTGGCCAGCCAATTGACTTGGGAGGTCTGACTGAATATTGGTAAAATCAAATTTTGGCTTATGAACCATCATCTTTGTCCTGAATTGACATTCAAGACCCGGAACACTGGTTCATGTGGCATGGGAAAGAGAGAGAGAGAGAGCTTGCTAGTTCTTACTTATAAACAGGCTCATGAAAGAAGAGAGCTTGCTAGTTCTTACGTCTAAACAACTTCATGAAAGAAGATTAACAAGCACTCTTTAACTTGCAAGAAAAGATAGTCCGCTTAGATCATTGGCATAGAGGGTCCATATGAATTCTTTTTCGATAGTTTATCCTTTTTCTTTGGTTTGTTCTGAGCTCTGAACTGTAGCCTACATTGGATCTTCAAATACGGCCAGTCGAACCCTTATTTAAAGTTCCTAATTAATGCTTGCACAATGATTAACCACTCATCATCATCATCATTTTCCAAGCCTTATCCCAATTAATTGGTTCACCACTAAAAACATGAATTTGAAAAAACTAGGAAAATGGAGAGGAACTTACATCACCCCAGCCACGATTCCACTGGTTTGCAAGAAGCTGCAGAGCAAAAACCAGAATTAATTAAGTTATGACAACCATATGGTGAATCATGTAAAATAGGAACAAAAGAACTCTCTCAATTATTCTTGACAGGGAAATAGCAGACGACGAACCCAATAATCCTCCCCTTCCTCAGAAGTTCCCCACCCAATCAGCTTCACAGCATGCCCACCCATGATACCACCTGTAATGTGCTTGTAAATCCCCGACTTGTAATGTGCAAAATCCTGCAATAGGATCATTACATTTGAGAATAAGACGGCAAAATTTAAGATTTTGAACTTCACTCATCATTCTTGGGATGCTGCTAAATACTCATAATGCAATTCAATTACCTCATAAACCGTGAAGGCGACTTCAACAGGACCATTCTTGTAGACCTCAGCCATGATGCTCGAGGGGTCAGAGTCGATTCTGTAAGCATTGACACTGAAGTGTTTAGATTCCTGCCACAGTTGGTTCTTAACTTTGCATTTCCTCTCGCACTGAGGAGTTGGGAATCCAGGCTCACATCCAGGGTGGGAGCACCCAATGTCGTCAAAGTAGGGGTCACACTGCAATCAAAATGCAAACAAATCATTATATGCTACACAATACCTACTACCAACAAGCAAGACAACATGAAAATCAGTTAGTGCTGTTCTATTGAGAAGTGCCCGACAAAGTGGGAGTTTTAGGTAACCTCCTTTTTATCCAATTCAATCCCTATGACTTCCTTTGATAAATATTTCCATCGATATTTTTTTGGAAATAAAAGGGGAAATCTAACAGGAAACGAAAACATCCCTGCACTAAATACTTTATTCAAACTTAGAAGTAAAAATTCTGAATGCATTTACATATAAAAAGAACTCACTCAATAATTATTACTTTATTGGAAACCTAATCACTAATCTCCAAAAATTGTGGAATTTATTCTTTGAAAAAAAGTATGGGTTTTTACAATGTCAAGCAGCATGTCAAAAATCAGAGTCAGACCCAAATCACTGGGGGACCCGGTTTTGTGTCGAGCTATCCAACTTGAGATTGTCATACAGACATAATAGAAAATTAAAAAAAATAAAAAATTGATTAGGTCGACTTGGTCAAACCCAAGTCTGCTTCGTGATTTTTAAAAACCTGATGTCGAGATTGCAATATACGTGCATCGCACATGCCTCTTGCTAGTCTGATGTATTATTTTTTTCTCGATGCTTTGTATAAGTGCTCTAAAAATCAACTTGGCCATAGATCTGATCCCTAGCCAGGCGGAATCACTCGCGGTGTGCCCGACTCCTTGCCAATCTAGTAAACGGCCTACTATGGAAAACTCAAAAAAAAGGAGAAAATCGGGAAAAATAGAAAAAAATAGATCAAATGTGGGGAAATAAAATAAATGATGAACAAAGTATTTCTGAAAAAAAGAGAAAAGATAAAGATGAATATAAAATATGGCATTTGAAACCCTAACCCTGGCTTCACCTGTTAGTCCTTCTGAAATTACCAAGTTCTATTAACCTAATCATAGAGTCCTTCAAATTTGATGGAGATCAAGAGCGGGGTGATTCAAAAACTTAATTTTATTTTTTTAATATCATAGATGTAGGTGTACATTTTATTATTTTATTAGGGTTCATTTGAGTGGCTGGAAGACACGAGATTGTATGTGTGTGTGAGAGAGAAAGCGAGAGAGAGACAGAGAGAGAAGGAAATGGGGGCCCCCCTTTAATGAGAATGAGAGAGACGCAAAACTAAAGGGAAAAACCACAAAAAGGGAGGAGGATTTCTGCCCCCTCTTATATTACAGCTACATGAATGATTCTCGGGCAAGTATTGTACAGAGTCACCCAAGTACTGTGAAAATTGGGTGAGCCAGCCCGAGTTTCACAGTGCTCGACCAGGCTTTATACGATACTCCCCAAGTACTGTTCGTGTACATGTTATATTATGTACAATCTTCTGGCCATGGCAGGCTGCAGGCCACATAACTCGCATGAGTCTGAGTAGACTGGAGCGAGTTTTCGAACACTGATTCAAATACGATCTATTTCAAACAAACACATCAATGAAGAGAAACAGAACCTGAATTGCATGAATCAACAAAGCCGGAAGCCAGACAGGATATCCAATAATCCAAACTAAGCAATGGATCAAGAAATGAGAATTTCAAGGGAGACATTGGAGCCGCACCTCTTCAGTAACCACACCATTCTGGACAAAGTATCGCCATGCATAGATAGGGTAGCCACCATCACAACCATCACCACACATAAATCCACAGCATGACAGCAGATCATTCACCGACAGGGATATGTTCTGCACCAGTTGACGCACAGATGAGGGGGAAAGAAGGATAAATAAAGAACATAAAGAACAATGAACCTAGTGACTTTGCATTATAATGAAGTCAAACATTGGCAGACTGATAGCTAAAATGATAGCTTATTTTATCCTTGGAATGCAAGTATAAAGTGTGCAATGGTAAAGATAGCAATACTATGCCTCAACTTCAATTCCTACTGAATACCATTCCAAAATGAATGCAGAAGCGATCGGACAAGGATTCAACCGCACCAAATGCCCAACAGGAACCACAATGGCCCTGTTCAAGACCCAAAAGTATACAATTGAGTAATTCTTGTCCTCCTCATAATCAATAGAACTGAAGTAATAGGGAGAAAAGGAAATTTTACCTGATCTTAAATGAGAAATTTGAACGTGAACACATGTTAGGAACACAAGAAGAGGGGAAAAGGTCAAAATTTCGTCTAATTAGAATTTTAGTTGGGAGGAGATGAGTAATTTGCTCGGTAAAATAATATTAGTTTGACAAGGTAGAATATTAGCAACACACCAAGTATTCTACTGATGGTGGCGCATTGGGTCCATGCTGTTCGAGCATCGAAATCCTTCGGCAACTTCACAGTTTTTTCATATCTTCTAATGGGAACAGGGACCAAGCTATTCTGGGGTACTGGTTTTACTCCAAGAATATATTTGAATTGACCAATCTACATAAAGAAAAGTATGCAATTGCTTGCATCAGATACAGCAATATTCTGCATTAAAAAAATGGTGTCTAAGTGTAGCCAGGCTTTAGGAACTCACTGTGTAATTGGAGAAGCGGGGATTCAAAGCAGCTTGCCAACCAGCATTAGGATTTCCATTGATTTTCTCTATTATAGAATCCTGCATAGTGGAAATACGTAGGATGATTACTTAATACCTGGAATCCTGAGCAAAAATAAGCACCAGGTATAATATGTTGGCCATAAATATGACGAGAACTTACTTGAAGAATGTGAGTTTTGTCCTTGGTTGGAGGAATAGGCTTCACTGCCTGCACCTGAAGTATACAAAAGCGGTTCTATTTAGCTACATTGCCAGACAGTGCAGTAGATAATTTCCACAGCAAATGGAAGACAGGGGGTGGCACAGTTTGACTGAGCTGGAACGGAATGGCATATTAGACTATCAAAAACTGTAACTTGCATATAAGGTGGGAATAGCAGAAGTACCCAGTGCCACAGCTCCAAAGCCTTAAAAATACAAAATAAGAAACTGACCATTTCAAAAACCAGGGGAGCATAAACCAGAACAAGACATTGGGTAGCAAATAATTCAACTGGTGCGACAGTTTAAAGTTCAAACAAACTTTTTGTGAGCAGAAAGAAAGGTAATTTATATGGGATTGTCATGAAATTATTCATCATTGTAGACACAAAGTCCAGAAACTCATCTTGGCCAAGGGACTCAGGCCTTGGCCGAGCCAAGTAACTTGGGCGAGTCCAAGCGGACCGCCTGAGTATTGTATAGCGAGAAAATAATGAAAAAAAAGAAATCAAAAAATTAAATGAAGAAAGAAAAAGTAAAATAAAACTAAAAGCAACCTTAAAAAGTCCAAATAATATTAAAAAAGTATAGGAAAAAATGGATCTAAAAAAAAAACTGTTTTATAGATGGGCAGATTTAAAAATAAAAAATAAAATATAAAAATAGGGATTAAGGCAAAAAACACTCACCAATCATTTCCCAAAAATCCAAATCATATAAAAAAAAGAGTTATACACCATTCCTATATTTTAACAATGTTTTTTAATCTTTCTAAAATTTCTTTTATGCACCCGGAATGGAACACACAACTCAGGGATACTTAGGGCGAGTCCAAGTAACTGTGATTCGGGCGAGTCACGAAACCATGATTGTAGAATATGTAAAAGGAAATATCATCAAATGGAAGTCTACGTATTGCAATGATTGGAATCATGATCAAACTTCAGTGGATAGTTCAAGTCTATCTGAAGCAAACAGTCAAATTCTGAACCACCAATCAAAGTTCCGAAACCTAGAACTTTCCATAAAATTGGCTATAGCAAACTGATTGGCTAAAAATTGCATCCTAGACTCATTAAGCATCGTCACTAAAAGCAATCACTTGTATATGATGCTTGCTTGTAGTTTTGATACAAGAACATACCAGAAATTGGAACATAAGTAAATAGAAAAGTGATTGAAGTATGGAAAAAAGAAGAGCCTAGCTGTGCAATTTGGGGTTGACGAGTAAAGGTAAGACAAACTAGGAAAAGGATCTGGAGCATACTAGAAGAGTTTATACACAGATAAAATAAGCCAATATCTAAAGAAAAGTTCAGATCGTAAAGGAATTCGAAACCTGTTAAAAACAAAAAGGGAGCAAAGGACTGGTACAGAAGCGAAATGTCTACGCAAATAAGACCATCTAATTTTAAATAAAAAATTGCAACCTCAAAATACAACGAACGGGCTGGATTGCCTAACACAAATCACAGACATCCATTAAAGAAAGAAGAAGAAAATGGTTAAATAAGAAGCCACGAACTGCATCACAAGTTCCTTTTGAACTTCGAGGCATATTAAGAGAAATCTTCGTATATTTGAGAAAACTAGTATATGGAAAAGGTGTTAAAGAGTACAAACCATAAATCAAGCAATCAAAAGAAGAAGAGAGCAATGGACCGATGATATCCAGCTAAATCCTAGAGCTTTTGCAATACAAAGGAAAAAAAGGCTCAAAATATACCTCGTCAAACGAGATAACAATTGCCAAAAGGAGGAGAGATATGAGAGCCTTGGCCATTCCTACAGCTCGCTCGTTCGCAGGCTGAAAATTAAAGCTCAATTTTTAGAGAGCAAAGAAGTCGAGTTGCTATCTCTTTTCTTTCTCCCTCCCTTTTTCTTCGTTGACGACAGAGCGACAATCTTATGTGGTGCGGTATGTATAGGGCTTAGGCTGTAAACAATCAAATTAGAGCTTACTTTCAAATAGTATCGGAAAAATGCGGTTTCAATACTGAAAATCCTTAGTGATAGCTTTAAAATATATTTTTTTATTTATTTATAAAATTTAAACTTCGAAAATAGTATAGATAGAATGAAAACTTTGAAAATGTTTCTAAACATTCAAATTAGAGCTTACCTCAAAAATTTCACTAGAAGAGGTTGTTTTGATGCCCAAATATCCTCATATTGATCATGAGAAAAAAAATAGGATTGCAAGTTTTTTAAATAGTGTATCTTGTAATGCATTTATAGACGGTTAATTTTCAAGATTTTTTAGTTTTTACATATATATATCGATGTGCATTATTTTTTAAGCTTTAAACTTTATAAATAAGTATAAAAATATATTTTAAGACACATTACAAATATTTTCAATATTAAAACGTATTTGAAGGTAGGTTCTAATTTGATTGTTTAGAGCCTAGGCTCTATACAAACCACACCCATATATGAATATCACCTTATTATTATTTTAATAAAATAAGGAAAGTAAGAGGTAAATAGGAAGGCGGGGAGAGAGAGGGAGAATATAATTATTCGAGCGCTGGGATCGGCCGCCTAATAATAACAATAAAAGATTCCAAAGAACCGTAGGGGACCAATTGATCGTCAGTGAGGAAGGTGGTGGGCCCACAAGTGAAATGTATTGGATTGACCAGCCCATTCGGATTGGATTAACGATTCTCAGCACCAAGCTCCAATGACCACATATTTTCAAAAGAGGGGCAAAATATAAACCAGTAATGACTGAATAGCCCTTGCAACTCTTTTTCCTTTGTTTCCCTCCCTCCGTTTCTCAAGGGTGAGAATCTCTATAACGAGAAAAAAGATTGTTGGCTTTGTAAGCATATATTAATTTTAAATTTTTAATTTTTTTTTTTTGTATCTATACATTTTGAGGTCGAAATGATTGATAGAATAGTCTACCATCATCATAACATTCTCTTCTCTTTGGCTTTGAGAGGATTTTTTAATCGCTACTTACTTTAATAGTATAAGATTGCAACTTTATATAACTCTTATCCCATAAGTTTAATATATCTTTTAAAATGGTATAAGAACTTGGTAAGTCTTTTATGATAGTGTCAAATTTGTATTATCCATTGAACCTTGCTTGTACAATTAAGGTTGTCGCCTCGTAATAAAAACATTTTTCTCTATGTAAAAAGAAGGATGTTGCTTCCATAAGGCAATCTCTTTTTTATTCTACTTATAAAAGTATAGCTGCATTGTTATAAATCATCAATTTTAGTTGAACAGTATAGATTTTAAGTCAATTTTTTAAAATAATATTATAATTAAATTCAACTTTTAAGCTAGAATTGAATATATAACATCTAACTAAATATTCATACTAGTTTGAAATATTTATTGATGCCAAGACTATAGGAATGAGAATTTACCTGATTCGAATCCGAAACCCAAAATTCGGACCCTATTTGGATCCATGTATGGATCCGAAATCCAGATCCATATCCAAAAGTCATATATGAATTGCAATTTGGATCAAATCTAGGTGCAGGTGGATTCGATCCAAGTCCAACCTAAATCTAAATCCGAATCCAACTCGATTTTTTTAATAATAAAAATTTATTTTATATATATATAATTCGGATCTGAATCCAGATCTAATGTATACTTTGGATCTAGATCTTTGAATCCGATTATTTGGATCCAAATCCAAATATCTAAGATCCAATTTTAACCTAGACTCTAACCCAGATCCGATATATACTATTTAGATCAAAATTCGGATCTGATCATATCCGCCCCCGATCTGACCTGTTCTCACCCTTACAAGACTGCCATAAACTAGAGAGCAGAAATTAAGTGAGCAGGTATGGTGACATTAGTTATTGGGTGACGACTTACGACAGATGCATGGGTAGTTTACCGGAAATCTAATTAAAGCAAGGAGCTACGTGACAGAGAAAGAGGCAGAAAGGTGCGTTCAGTTACACGGTTGCTTACACAGCCAATGGATGCTTGCGTGACACAACGTTGGATACCACTCTTTTGTTGTTTTCTTTTTCAACAAAAGAAAAAGAAGAAGAAGAAGAAGAAGAAGAAGAGAGAGAGGGTGGTGAACGGAATCTTTTGCTCTTTCTTTACCTTGTCAAATTGTTTGGGTGCGAGAGAGAGACTCCTTCATCTCCGCTCTCCTCTCCGCACACGGCTCTACTCTACCCGCTAGATTGTTCCCACACGTGCCAAACGCACAACTTTTTATTTTTGAACCTCCTCAGCAACAGCAGTAGTCCGTCCATATTTGGTGTGTTTGCCGTCTATCCACTTGCTTGCTGCGTACAATATTTGGAAAACTTTGGATTGCGATTTTAAAGTACGCCGTTAGCATGCGGTCAACCCAAGCCTCCACATTTAAAAATACAGGCTTTTTAATCATTTTTTTTTTAAATAAAAACCGATCCTGATTTTTAAAAAATATAGAATCTTTGATATGACGATCATGAATATGAATAAAAAAATAAATTTTGAAAACTATAAATAATAATTATATTAAAAAAATATTTGGACAATTAATTTCAATTGTTTTTAAATGGACCGCCTATTTGCATCCACTTTTAAAATGGATCCTTTATACCCCTAGACCACCGCTTATTGTACAAATGCAGCTCAGCCTGCATGTAACAATTGTTCTAATAAAAATAAATGATCTCGTAATATACAATCCCGATTGATTACCCTTTGCTACATTAAATTTCCTATTAAAACAAATGCAATGCCTCACAAAGAAACTTTCCTATCCGTAACAATAAAATAATAATAATAATATTTGGTATAATAAGTTTGGCAAAAATTAAGAGGAAATCAAGATAACCAAAATACAAAATCCAATACCACAACAATATACATCAAATCATAATGTAATCACCACAAATATACATGCTTCATCTCAATTGAGATGCATCCACAGATAACCGAGAGTACAATTTCACAAGAGAAGTAACTGGTCGGGTTAAATAAAATCGTTACCTCACAATTGGTAAAACACCACTTATTTCCCTTTCTATTACCACAAAATAATAATGGAACCAATATCCTTTGGTTAAGTTCATCACCATGGCACCACCTACAGTAGAAAATGTCAACCAAACTCTGCAATTATGGTCTGAAGATGGGGAGATGTTAACTATACAAAAAGAAAGCGCCCCAAAACACGTAGGACACTCCAACTGGGCGGAGTCATGCCACACAGCGACATCAAGCAAGAAAAAGCCTATTAATCACGCCGAGCTCTAAAAAAGACTTAGAGAAAATTACTTACATATGCGTTATATTTTACGTTATTATGGATGTATCAAAATTTTCCTGTTATTAAATGTATATCTATTTTTTATCTTTTATAACATAATTTTTTAAAAATACGACTTTATCTTTTTTCGAATGTTGAATAACCGAATATAGGCTCAAAGTTTAACATTCACATTCCCATTTTCGGTTGTTGAATATCCAAATAAAAGGGTTTTTCGGATGTTCAATATCTAAAAATGGTTTTAGATGTTGGACATCCGAAAATGACTACGAAATTCTAGAGATTTTTTGAAAATTCAAAGTCATATTTTCCAAAAAGTCTCTGGAATTTCACAATATGATATTTTCAAATGTCCAACATCCGAAACCATTTTCACAAGGAATACAATGTATCGACATAAGCCTTTCATTCGGATGTTCAACACCCGAAAATAGGAATATGAACGTTAAACTTTTAGCCTATTTTTGGATGTTGAACATCTGAAAAACCCTCCAATTCAGTTGTTCAACATCTGAAAAAAGGTAAAGTCGAATTTCACAATATGATATTTTCAAATGTCCAACATCCGAAACCATTTTCACAAGGAATACAATGTATCGACATAAGCCTTTCATTCGGATGTTCAACACCCGAAAATGGGAATATAACGTTAAACTTTTAGCCTATTTTTGGATGTTGAACATCTGAAAAACCCTCCAATTCAGTTGTTCAACATCTGAAAAAAGGTAAAGTCGTATTTTTTAAAATATTCCATTATAAAAAGGTTAAAAATGGACATACATGTAAAAACTGAAACTATTTGATAAATCTGTAATGATACAAAATACAACAGATATTTATATAATTTTCTCAAAAAACTATAATCCACAGTGAGAAGCATGCAGGTGTCGTGCATTATATTAGAATAAGGGGAGCAGTGGAGAAGAAAAAGAATTAAAGACAAGCACGAGGTATTATCATAGTTAGCAAGTCGGGGACTTTCATAATTCGGCTCACTATAAAATCGAAAATAAATCGTTTTTATTTTAAAAAGCCAGATGAAGAAATCGGGTAAAAAATATGGATCGGCAAAAACACTTCATATAAAGATATCGTAAATATATCGGACTAGGCTCAACAAATCGGAGTCAAAAAATCGGTTAAGTTTAAAAATATTAGAAAATTTAAAATATACCTATTTAGTAGGTACCAAAAAAAAAAAACACCATGACAAAGACACCATGATATATACATCATATGGATACACCATATTATAACTACAGTATGGTGAGTTGGAAGCATCTGGATATATATGATAACTACGGTATGATGAGTAGGCGACCCATTACTTCAAAGTTCAAACGGCAGCAAGAAGCATATGGGAGTTCTAGACAAAGAGGAAGAAGAATAAAACCCCAGTTGGAGCAACACGCAGAGAGGGAGAACCTGAGAAGCAATACATACAGAGAGAAGCAACATGCACAAAGGAAGCAGCATACACAGAGGAACTATGGGTTTGGGAAAATGAAAAAACTTGTTTGGTGATTGAGTGTGAGAGAGTAACAACACGCATAGAGGAACTATGGGTTTGAGGATATGAAAAAACCCATTTGGGGATTGAGTAAGAGAAGCAGCACACATAGATGATCTATTGGGTTGGGAAAATGAA